CCTTGGTTAGTTTCCATCCATTCTTCCTTGTCTGGCCTTCAAATGTGCTTTGGAGAATAGCTCGACTCCTTCTTCTTTGTGGCAACCTCTGAGATATTGGAACACTTCTATGAGGTCTAGACATACCCAGTTCCTGCAACCGTTCTTCATATGTTGTAGTCTCCAGTCCCCTAATCATCTTTGTTGCTCTTCTCTGCACTCTTTCTAGAGTCTCCACATTGTGGCGACCAAAACTGAATGCAGTATTCCAAGGGTGGCCCTACCAAGGGTTTAACACTTCATGTGATCTTGATTCTATCCTTCTATTGATGCAGCCTAGAACTGTGTTGGCTTTTTTGGCAGCTGCTGCACACGGTTGGCTCATATTTAAATGGTTGTCCACTAGGACTCCAAGTAACAGGAGCTCACTCTGTTACATGGCGTTAGGGATTCGAACCACCGAACTGCCGATGTTTCTGATTGACAAGCTCCGCATCTTAGCCACTGAACCTCCGCGCGTCCCTTAGAAAAATAATACCACTGCTCTTTTCAGTGCACTATAGAGAAAAAAATGCCTAGTAGGTCTTGTGACTCCATTTTTGAGTCCTAGCCGTTTGCTCAAGGTGATTTTTGAGCTGAGAGTCTCTCTTAAAACTCCCCTGCTTTTTCAGGTTTTCCAAAGTCAGAGAGGGAGGTTGAGTACACGCGGTCCTCATCTTAACGACCTAATTGAGCCCAAAATGTTTATTGCTGAGTATAAAACAATTGTTTTCTTCTGCTTTACGGCCTTCCTTGCCGCGGGCATTAAGTGAGTCTGGCTTCACACTGTCAGAAGGTTTAAAAAACTGTGGAAATTTGTATGTATAATGAATTATTTGGTATGTTAAAAAATGCACGTGAAACGCTAAATGGTAAAGAAAAAGTGGAAACTCAGAGGCAAAACCTAGAACAAGATGGAGGAGAAAAGGAGATAGAAAAGGGATTAAATGAAGAACAAGTAGATATTACAAAAGAAAAAGAGATTGAGAAAGAAAAATACTCAGATGATTGTATTGAGATTTACAGTGACACACGAAAAGGAGATGAGGGGAAAGTGGCCCCCAAAAAGGGAAAATTAAACAGCAAAAGTGGGAACAATGGAGAAAGTCTGGGGGGGAAACTGGGGACAGTTACTAAAACGTTAACAGCCAAAAGGGAGAAAAAAGAGTGGGAAGAAAAAATATAGAAACTACAAAAACAAGAAAAAGAAAAAAAATAGGTGAATGTGTGAAAAGAAGAGAATGTAAGAGAAGTGGAGGTCCTGAGACACTTAAGAGAAATGGTTGAAAGGAGGAAAGAAGAAAAAGGATTTACTAGTAGAATAGAATGAAATACGATAATATTGCCAATGGCTTAATATGTTGTGAGGGAATCGATCAATACTATTAATTGTGGATAATTAACTAAGTAAAATGTTTACTATGCAAAATTAAATTTGAGGATATATGTCATTGATAGTAAAACAGAATAATAGATGGAAATGAAATGTTAAATTTAATTAACCTGGAGGGGCAAATAATGATATTATATTAAGAAGAAACTAAAGTTAAATTGGAAAATATGGAAAGAAAATAAGATGACTGAAATTTGAAATGGAAATACGATGTAAAATGAACTATGCATAACAGAAGATGTAAAGGGGAAAACCCATACAAAACCTTGTTTATAAAAGAAGTTAAAATATGTAACAATTTTAAAAAAAAACTTTGTTTCAGAAGGTTAGAAAAAGGGATCAGGTGACCGCACTCAGGTAAACAATATGCATTGGAGACAATAGCATCCTTAAGTATCTTGTAGCAGGAAACATCAAACATTACACTGAAATTCCATTAAGTTCCCCCCCCCTCCCTTTCTTCATTTAGACCTGCTGTGATGACTGTTGAGGAGGGGGACTATGAGATCTCTGTTCGGGTGGGACCTGAATTGATGGAGAAGATATTCCTTAACATTCCTGCAGCATGGCTGAAGAAGGTTGTAGGTAATACTGTTGGAAACTGTGGGGTAACTGGAGATTTTGTTGGTCTTTAATCCCTTAATTTAGGGCTGTCAAACACACGTCTTCACGGCAGCGTCACATGACATATCGGAACATTCCCCCCCCCCTTTGCTAAATCGGGCATGGGCGTGGGCCGCAGGCTGGGAGTTTGACGGCCCTGCCTTAATTGCAAGTTCATGAAGCAATGAGTAATAATTCTATAAGCAGAGAGCAAACCTCACTTTCTTGTAGCACTGATGACGTTACCCAGTTGGGTAAGGAAACATCTGCAGGAAAATAACCAAGCTCAGAGAGCACTAAGGAGCCCACAGTAATCAATCTTCCTTGGCCTCTGTCATCAGATCACCTTCCATCTCAATTGTCGATGGAGATTCTCAGTCATCCAGGTCATGGTTGTCCCAAAGGTGATTTTTTTCAAGAAGCAACTGAACTTCTTGGTTTTTCTTTGAAGACGTTTTGCTTCTTGCTGAAGAAGCTTCTGGATGAGAAGCGAAACATCTTCAAAGAAAAAAACAGAAAGTCCGGTTGCCTCTTGGGGGGAAAAAAAGCACCCATGGAATTCTCTCTCAAAGGTCCAGATATGACTCAACCTAGCCTGGTGCCCTCCCGCTGTGCCTTGCAGCTCAGGATGATGGGATCTGTCACGCCAGAGATCTCTAGGGTTCCTGCCTAGGGAAGACTTGGTTGGCTGGACTCGGTGGTGGTCTTAAGTCAAGGACTTCCTGTATAAGGAATCGCTAAGAACCCCCACAGGCATTCTCTCAGCAGAAACAAGGAATTTGGGGTTCATGGCTCAGGATTACCCTCTGTGGAATGGATTTCCAATCTCAAAATGCAGATAGTGACCCGTTCACATTCTATAAATTCCCCCCCCCCCCAGATCAGAAGAGGTTCCCCACATGTTTTGCACTTACATTCCATGGCCTAGCCAGGGAAAATATATTTTCTCTGGAGCCTCCGATGGTTGCGAAGCCCTCTTCTACTTCTTCTGTTACAGAACGTCCTTCAGACACCACCTACGGGATGCTGGTGGCCGATCTCTGCCATTCTCTGCTCACCGACTCCAAGGCATCCTACCTTCTCACTATCAAGAGCCATTTTGTCCTGGATGAAAACAGTTTTCCTCTGGAGAAGGACTTCCAGCTGTTGGAGTTCCACCTTGATCTCTGAAGCAGCCACTTCTAATGAGGTTCCTCACCAGGGGTAGGCTGCTGGGGGTTCGCATGGGTTCGGACGATCCCCTAGCTAGGATTCTGCCCAGTTTGGTGAACCCCCAAACGCCACCCCTGGCTGGCCATACCCACCCTACCCCTCCCAGGAGTCTCCACGCAGCTCATTCATCATGCAGAGGCTCAGGGAGGGTGTGTGTGAAACAGGCCTACTGGAGGTTCTGGAAGTCTGGAAATGGGCGTCTGGAGCCCAGGGGAAGCAGTTTTTGGGGCTCGAGGAATACCTCCAGAATCTGAGGAGGGCAGAAAACGCCCCCACCACCATGATGCAGGAAGCCAGCTAGGCCACGCCCACCATGCAATGGGGCAGCGAACCTGTTACTGCAATTTTTGAAGCCCACCCTGTAAATCCTCATCCAAGTTCACAATCACATAAAAAGACATAAAATGAGGAGGACAAGTGAATGGAGTTTTTGTTTGTTTGTTTGTTTGTTTGTTTGCCTTGGAATGAATATGTTTTATTTTTATAAGTACATTTTCTACGATTTAAGAGGCATGATTTCTTCAGACAAGTTATTAATAGCTACTCAAAAGATGAGTGATGTTTCCTTTGTTGGGCTTTGGTTCCCCAAGACCCCAGGAATTTCCTGAAAGAGAATTAAAGGCGTCTGAAAACTCCCTGCCAACATTTTAAAATGTGTCACCTAAAAAAATATTTTTCCTTGCCGCACCCTTTTTTGCCAGCCCCCATTTTCGCCTTCCTGCCATTGCGACGGCTTATCTCTTGAAGTTCCATTTTTCAAAGTAAATATTACAATGGCAGAAAGAAGTTTTTCTCTTTATAAACGGTGGCTTTAGCTACGTTATCAAACCGCTGCAAGAATTTCTATATTCACACTAAAAAAACAAAACACCTTTACTTTCTGGAGATGTGCCAAGTACAGTCAGCCCGCAAAGCAAATAAATGCTTCAAAGAGAGAGAAAAAATAAAGTTTAAATTATGCACCTGATTAAAAGATACCGGGGGAGTGGGGGACACCCCTATTTCTCAGTCTCTTCCTCTGGAATACAGGCGGATTCAAAGTGCAGCTTTAAGGGAATTAAATGAACACTTTCCTCTTTTAGTATAATTTATGGATTGTAGCTTGGTGAAGCCCAGCTGAGCTTTGATTTCTGGTGGGAAGCCTAGAATCTTAAATGTTTGCTCTTGTACTGGGCGCAGACCTCACTCCCTTCTGGCACTGATGATGTTACCTAGTTGGGTAATGAAATATCTGCAAGGAAACCACCAACTCAGAGAGCACCAAGCACCCCACATCTGTCTGTCTGTCCGTAAACCACTGCCTAATCAAGGAACCACCAAGAACACTTCCATCAACAGGGTAAGCCACTTGTATATAAATAGAGAGCAAACCCCACTCCCTTCTAGCAGTGATCACATTACCTCGTTGGGTAATGAAACGTCTGCAAGGAAACCACCAAACTCTGTATCCCAGGGGTGTCAAACTCAAGGCCCAGGGCTGGATGGTACTTATACCCGGCTCGCGGGGCCAGCCTGGAAATATCAAAGGACCGGCCCACAGTGCCTCCGCCAACCAAAACATGCCAAATGAGGGAGGGGGTACCCACAGCCCATTTTTGGGCGCCTGCAGCACTCTGCCGGCCAAAAACGGGCCACACAGAGGCCTCTCCACATGGCCCATTTTGGCTGGCAGAGGCACTGCAGGCGAGTCCTTCCCGTGGCACGACAAAACCGCGCTAAGCAAAATAGCGGAGATTAAATCGTGTCGCTAAAGTCGCGACGTCATCACCGCGGGGACAACAGCGCGGCGACAGAAGGGCGTTCTACATACTTCGTTCTTTGCCTCCAGACAGTGGCAGCGGGCACGGGGCAAAGCGGGCTGCCCAGCAGCAGCAGCAGCCTGCGGGAAGGGTCCAGCACAGCCACGGGGGGCAGCAGGAAGCCCGCGGGGGGCCCGAGCAGGGCTGCTGACGCTGGCGGCGGAGGAGGAGGACGCAGCAGCGGCGGCGGCTGAGGCTCTCCCGGGACCGGCGAAGCGGGCTTGCCCGGCAGAGGCAGGCCGCCCTCTTCTTCCTCAACAACATCTCCTTGGATGGGCGGCCGCCACCACTGGGCAAGCCTGCTTCGCCGGCCCCCGGGAGAGCCTCAGCCGCCGCCGCTGCTGCGTCCTCCTCCACCGCCAGCATCGGCGGCCCTGCTCGGGCCCCCCGCAGGCTTCCTGCTGCCCCCCGTGGCTGTGCTGGACCCTTCCCGCAGGCTGCTGCTGCTGCTGGGCAGCCCGCTTTGCCCCGT